GACAAACTGATTCAGGGCCAACAAAGCAGCCTCTCTGCTTGAAACAACTGAGCAGGAACAAAGGTGGAAGTGAAGACCTATAATTATTGCTAAGCAGTGACATAACTACTGACTAAATGCATGGAACAGATACTACATGGATCGTGTCTGTTTGGTTTTTTAGTGTATGCTGTGCCATATGTTTTCACTTAGGTTGAAAAAAAAAACTACAGCAACTCTCCCGTCCTCATTACATGGAGAAGATGCCAGATACTAGCTACTCTTTCTTATGAAAGCCTTTTATATTCTTCAAACCACATGTACTGAGAAATTCTATTAATAGTCAGGTATTTCTCCAGTCTTGTTTGTTGCCCTTCTCCAAATAACTCTTTCCTTTTGCTTTAGCTACAGAGGTAAATTTGGGGAGGAGGCCCTCTGGGATTAATAATCTCACTAGCAGTATAAACAATTTTTCCATTGCTTATTCATTGACAAATTTAACCCTGAAAGCAGTGTACATGCTAGAGGGTCTCTAACTATGTGGACAGCATGAGCATATTCATATCTCCATAATTATACTGACAATGCACTGCTAAAGAAGAAATTTCAATTTAATTTTTTAAAAATTCTCCACATCACTCATTTAAGAACCTGAGACTGCTGCGGTCTCCTTGCTCCTGACTGAAAAAAGTTGCAACAGCAGGCTTGGTGGGTGCTGGGAAAGAAGAGTTCCTACAAGGAAATTAGATCCTCGCAAATGGTGAAACATGGGAGGCACTCCAACATCCCAGTTAATGCCAAAACAATAGCCTGGGACACAGGAGGGTGCTCAGCAGCCTGAGTCGTCCCCCACAGGACATTCTGACATTTATAGCTTTTAGAGTTCCAACTTCTTGTTACAGTTTGCTCTTCTTGACAACGCAGAGTTGACCAATTTCATGTTCCCCACTTCGGCTACATACACACTAATAAACAAACTGGCAGCAGGGCACGGGCCCACACTGTCCCACACAAGTCCATACCATTAAAGGGTTAGCACAGTCCCAGATGTGTTCACCAGGGCCAACAAATATCCTCCTCTAAAATTCTCACGCATTCACAGGCTAATAGAGGCCAGTGACCTTTCTTGATAGGAAGCCTGGACATAACCACTCTGTTTGGGGGGGGGGGCAGGGAGTTAATCTGTTTGAACAATGAGCTCAACAGCCTTCAGGACCAGAGGACAACCATTTTATTTATTAATAGAGATGCAGTCATCATTTCCAAGCACTTACAGTGGCCCATCCTGTTTCCAGACTCTGTAAGTCACATAGTAGGAGACAACAAGTTCGACGTGGCAAAAGCATCTCATTTTTTTAAAGTAATTGCAGTCAGACGTGACACTGGCCTGTTTGTCAACACAGTCATTCTTCATTTAGAAAATCCTGATCCAGATTCTGAAAGATAATCTGCATAGCAGAAATCTCTGGGCAAAACCTAGAGCCACTGTTGCATGGAAGGCCAAACTAAATAATGGCAGTGACCCTTTATGGTGTCAAAATTGAACATCTCTTCACACCTCTTCATATCTATTACTTCTCCTATTCTCTGCACACAGAGAAAGCCAGAGTTTCCACAAGGGCTACAAACATGTCTGATGAATGCAATGACACCTTCAGTCTGCTGGATCAGCCCCAACACTCCTGACAGCTCTCAGCTCTGCTTTTGTCCCAGGTTGCTGAGTATTGGGATCGAGTAATTAGGATGAATCTTTCATTCAAATCTTCGTTGAACCAAAACTCTGCCCATGTAAGAAAGATTAAGAAAAAAGTATGACCACTGCTCTTAAATTCCTCTTCATCTAGTTCTAATACCTTGTAGGGGACTCTCACAACCACTGTTCAGAGTTTGCACAAGACTGTGTGCCATGTGACTCATCTCAGAAAGCCCTGCTCATCAAACAGTAGGGTTGCCACCTGCCTCTTTTCCATGCCTCTTTCATTTAGCAGACAAGGAATCACTAAGGTTGTTAACTGAGGACAGCAGCAGTTTGCAACCTGACATGAGATGTGCAGCATTCCTACTGCAACAGTCCCTTTCAGATCCAGCAGCATTTGAGGGAAAGTCTAAAAACTTTCCTATTCAAGACCATATTCCCCTTGACGGCTCCTACACACAAATGCTCTTGCAGAGGGAGAATGCAGCACTCTGGCCATAAAACCCCCTTGCCTGGGCTAATGGACAAATCAGAAGATGACCACTGGAGTAAAGGAGAGAGCAATCTTTCACAAAGAAACACTGTTAAACGTTCCATGTTGTACTGAGTACTTCTTAGCATCTGGAGATGGAAGAGCTGTCTTTACAATCAGATTCTCATTGAAGAAAATGAAGATCTCTGATGAACTGTGTCAAAATGATCAGCATACTGCCTTCCCCTTGATATGATAACCTTTAAAGAGCAGTAGTCCTGCCCTGAAAATTTCGGAGCCATTTCTACTGTTTTACATGTAATTTATACAGACGTGTTATTCCAAATTAGTGCAGCCCGGTAGACATTGCTCCTCAAAAGCTGCTTTCCCCTGAAGACTGCAAGAGTCATTCTTGCAATCTTGGAATTGTTCTTTCTTGTACCAGTAAACACCAAATGGTGGAAGAAAAAGGATTCTGTTCAGCTTTTTATTCAGAGACAAAGCAAAGCAAAATTTAGGTAAGAGCCTGAAGAATAGAGAGGAACTTAAAAAGTGAAAGCAGAAACATATTAGCTTCCAAGCTGCTAAGAATCCCTTGATTTCATAACTTTAGTATTTTCAAGCTATAGTTTCTAGAAATTTCTTGAAACATGCAGCATTATTGTAAGCAAGCTCATCCTGTAGCTGTATTTCACATACACACACACACACAAAAAGCCATTTTGCACTTGAATAGATCACAGTGACTTAAAACCACCAGGTGTTATTCACCAAAGTTCTCAGCAAGATCTTCCCTTTACCATCTCAGCTACAGTCATTGTCTACAAACACCAACCACCTTTCCCAGTGTGATGCATGTTGGAAATCCCAGCTGACGGTGTCACGGGGCTGCCCAATGCACAGAGCAGAACTCCTGCCCTGTCTGTTTCAGCACAGCCACATCTCTCCACACTTTCTTAGCCACCCTGACTACTCATTTTCCCATGCACATCCCAGCTCTGAGAGCCTTCATCTCGCACCACCACGTGACTGAGCTCCACGCTGCCTGCCTGGGTCAGTTGTTTGGATACCATTAGATTGCCCTGACTGAAAGCCCTAATGAGGTGCTGATCCCATCATCCAATCACTCGGCTGAGCCCGAATGCATCCCATGGGACAGCCAGAAAAGACTGATGCAAGAATTCCAAGTGATGTGTAACATGAAAGGGCGCCATTCGCATCGCGAGGACTCACAGCCTGTCAGCACGGCCATTAGAAATCCTGGGCTACACAGATTTATAATGCAACCCTCCCACACACAGAACTTGCTCCAGACTGAAACTTGGCACAAAATTCAGTCCCAGGAGGGTGTTAAAAAAATAACCTATTCAACGGTTTTCCATCCCATGGTTTCAGCTCACAGCCATTTAAATAATGGCAATTTCTCATTTCTCTTTTTAACTGAGGAAATCCAATATAAAACACCAGATTTACATAACATTGCAGTGGTGATACAAGCTGGCAACAAACCCAGGGAGAAGGCTGCCAGAGCTGTTCCGTCATTCTCTTTTGGTGAATTTCTCCACTTGGATTCCGTTTAATGCAATGATTTTTGTTAGGTCTGGCTGACATCATGTGTAATCTGCAAATCCCACCTCCATGACGGTCAGTCAGCTTGCCCTAGCTTTGTACACCTTGTGTGCTGGTTAGAAGGGGACAAGCCCTCCTGTGGTCACCACAGCCTCTCACTGGTGCTGCCACTGTTAGTTCTTTGCTGCAAACTCTGCTGGCTAAATTAGAGGACAGCAATTAGTTTCCTATTGAGCTGCAAAAGACCGACTGGACAAGGAATGGACAAAACAAAGAAGGGAACTGATGCAAGCCAAAAGCAATTTGTCAGTAGAGCCTTTGATTTCACCAGAGATTGTTCTGACAACTGCCACACCTGCTTCCAGGCAGAAAGACAGACCCAAGCCTTCTGTGGCTGCCGCCCTTTCTCCACCAAATATTTCAACTCCTATGGGGGTTATCTGTAACCAAGAGTTTGTCAGCAGAATAAAAATCCTGCAAATTGATGCAAAGCAACAAACACTTCTTAATAAATATGTTGGAGTTCAGAAAGTCTGCAGTAAATCACTGCAGTGAGCACAAGCCTTCTGCTCACCACCACTCACCCAGAGAGGCCTTTGATAGCACATGTGGGATAGCCAGGAGCCTGTCACCCACAAAACAGATCATCTGCTGGGTGGGCTACTGGCCCCCATCTCATCACCACCAGCACCACCCCTGCTTTCCCACAGCATACCTGAGACACAGCTCCTGCTATGACACTCAGCTGGAGGACAGGACATATCACCCATCATCACCAAAGCACCTCAACAGACTTTTCCTAATTGTTATATAAGTCAATAAGTAGCCCAACTATAAAATGCTATGAGAAAAAAATGAAGATTTGTATCAGTGGTCAACTCCAAGGCATATTCCCTGTTCTTCAGAGAATTACTGACTCAAAGGTAGTTTAAGTCAGTTTGAACTCTCAGCTGCTGTCAGCAAAGCTGCAACAAGATTCTCTGGCAGTCAACATCAAAATGCTTCTTCCAGAATGGGCAAGTAGGTCTAAAGTGCCATTGTTGCACTGACTCTCTGCATGTACTACACCATTTCCCTCAGACCAGCCTCTGGGGTCCATGTTCCAGCTGTGAAAACCTTTCTGGGTTTGTGTGAGTTACATGTACAGTATTTCTCTCAAACAGGGGGGAAAAAAACACTGAGCCCAAGGGAACACCTAAGCTTTCAAAACAGAAAAACAAAATGGAGCAAACATCTGCAGAACCACCTTCTTCTCCAACAGCTGCACAGTTCTCTCATTCATACCTTGTCCTTTAATTCCAAAGGGGGGTACAAAGTCCCTGATACGTGCCCATTTCCTGAAGGAATCATCCAAGAACATTGGTGCCGGCTTCGAGAACCTGAGGAAATCAAAATGAGAGAGAAATTAACTCCTGAACTAGGAAGGATAAATTTCTGCAGGAAGGTTGAGAGAATCCACACCGAAGTGCTGATTCTACATTCTCACTGGCAACACAGTAATGTGGAAGATTTTACTTTTACCCAAAGGTGACTGCAGTGAAACAAATCTGCCAGAGTTTGTGCCAGGAGGACACTCAAATCACTCAAGTCATGACCTGGCAATCCCTTCCACTCAACAATTTAGAACTTCCCCTCTGTTGTTTGGCTATCACTTTAGCTACAATAAGTTGTAAATTGCACCCAGAGTTTAGGCAGCTTTACTTCCAACTTTGTAAGCACAAGACAATGTATGTGCTTGACATACATTGTTCATGACACATCCACGCTGTGCTGCTCTGTGCAGGTGGGAATGCACTGGGCAAACACCTGTGGAGAGCAAGACTGGGGTTACCTGCTCTCATGGCTGCTCTGGCCTCACTCATATGCATGTACACAGCAGTTATCACCACACAGGCAAGAAAGAAAACAGCTCAGGGCATCATGAAGCAGCTCTTGGTTTACAGACAGTGGAAATTCAGTGAGGAGTTGGGTATTTTCTTCTATGTTCAGTAACATAGAAAAGATTCAAGAGAGGTCCTTGCCAAACCAAACAGTGATCTATCCAGAATCCCTTACAAAAGAGAAACCTAGTCCTTCTTAACTGTGTCATTATGGAAATACATTATTGAAATACATTATCCTAATTATACCATCAACACACAAATACGGTAGCTACTAAAAATTTGTCTCTTCTAGAAACTTTGTACAGTGGCCAGAGAGAAGGAAACAATTAGCAAATAGAGAAATATTAACTTTCTTATGGGACCATTTCTGAATGTATCAAGACAGAAAGTATGTTAATACTACTAAAAATCTTGTTCATTCACTCATATCAAAAACAGTAGCAGGGATGTCCTGGATCAAAATCAATCACACCATTCTACAGAAATTAAGAAAGGAATGTACCACATATTTAGAGTCAGAGAGTACATCTCCACTACAGTGCAAGGTACCTGCTTCTGAAACAGATCCAGCCTGGATAACCTAGGCATGGGACTGGGACAGACGTAACCCACAGGTTTAACTCTCTCTTCAGGCTGTTTCTGTACTCACCATGCCACTCTGGACTTGAACTATCTGAATTAAGACATTCATCTTCACTATGCCACAGTCAAGAACAGAGCAAGAGTTTCAGACAGCAGCACAGTGAGGAAAGGATGGAATGAAATCTGAATTATAAAACTGCTCAAAGTAAAGTCCTGTTGCAGATGCCCAGGAAATCATAGGTTGCAAAAATCTCTGGAAAGGGGAAAGAGAATATTTAACAAAACAAGAAGTCTTGAATTCACCCATGCATACTGCTTCACATCCACTCATGCAATCTTTAATAAGATCATCTATAACCATAAAAGCAAGATGCACAGATGACATGGTTGATCTAGAAGGAAAGGAATGTCTTTGCAGAGCCGAGAATACGAAAGGATATACACACTTTACCTGGGAAAAGGTGGGGAAGAGGTGTTAAATAGAGCTTCTGAAGTTCTTAGATAAAAAACCCTCACAGGTCTATTTAAAAATAAATAAATAAATAAGAACAATACAGTATTAATTGTAATAAATTTACTCTGAAAATATCCTAAGAACTTCAATAACCCAACAAATTAGTTCAATGTTTTCTCAGACATTTTGGTGCACCAAAATATAATTATTATGTTACACTGGTGGGTCTCCAGGGAATTATCTCCACCTCCTTCCAACAGCAACAGGAGAAATCTTTGCAGGACTCTCATACAATGCAAGAGCTTTTATATCCTGAAGGGCTACAGCAGAGATGTTCACAGCTCTTCCTTCACAGCCACCAGTTGAACCTATAGCAGAAGGCAGGTCCCACAGAGTCCTGTTCTCCCCAGGCAGCAACTTCAGTGAGGGATGACAGCACTGCCTGGGGGTCACAGCCCTGGGGCTGGTTTGTCATGTCACCAAGGTACTCCGGTTGCTGCTGTGACATGCAACCTCCAGGATGCCTCAGGAAATGCATATATGAGCAGGTTTTATTCTCTTCTCAAGAATCAAGAGGATTCCCTACAATAATGCTACAAAGTAGTGCAGTGTAAATAAAAATCTCAGCCAGCTCAGTTCACCTGTTCAAGAGCACTGCATGAGAAAGAAGGTACAGGCTGCAAGGTCAGGCCTAACACAGAAGTTGGTCTTATTTACAGATGTAATTAACTGGCCTATATGCAAGTCACACACAGGGAAAAGGCAGCTTACAGTAGTCTGACATGGAGTAAGGAGTGCCTCTCCCTAGTGCAGATTCCCCCTTACAAGGTGCCTGGTGAAACGAGGAGGGAACTCAGATCCTTCTAGAACTCCCTGGACCCCAGGGGAGTTCCCAAAAATCAGTTGAAGCTCAAGCACGACTGATCTGATGCTCTATGACGTCCCTTCTGCTTGGACCAGGGGACCAAACTGATGCCAAAGAGAAGGGTGAAATGACCATTAGCCTTTTAATCATACTTGCTAGAAGTAAATTTAGCGATTATTCTAGCAAAGAACATGACGGCCTTAGACTAGCTACTATTATTTGGTAATATTTAACACTACTGTACACAGAGCCAGGGAAATAGACTTTTAATTCATAGTTTTGTTTCATTTAAGAAGGAGGAGGAACAGCTTTGGGGAAATATTATATCCATATGGGAAAAAAAGGGAGCAAATTAGAGGATATTTAGCTCTCATAAATCTTGAAAGAAATTCCATTTTGGAAATATTAAGAAATCATAACTGCTGTAAGCTCATGCACTTTGCCACCTCAATAAATCAGAGTGGGCCAGAATCGAAGTCCAGCAGGGACAGGGAAACACTGCCTGCCAAACCTCTCCGGGAGCGTGGCTGCTCTGTCTCGGCTCTGAACCCCGCTGGTGTATTCCAGGACCCTTCAGGAAGTATCAGGATATGCCTCAAACAGGCCATGGGAATGCTCTCTGCAGAGCACCTAAAATACATTCCAAGGAATGCATGGGAGTTTGTCAAACAGAAACAGCAAATGTTTCTGAATGATGTTAAACTCTGTATCCACTGAGGCAGCTCGGTACAGGACGCTGCTTTTTGCCTGAGTTGTCTGCCAGGGCTATCCTAAAGGCAGGTTGGCTTCACCAGCAACTGCTATCCAGAACTGAAACAGGGTTGTGCTCCTTCAGAAACCCACAGAGAAAGGGAGAGTTTTGATTTTTCAGATTTAAATTCTAAGCACTTCCTCTCTACCCCAACCCAGTTCCAGAACAGACAAAATGCAACCTCACTGCACATGACAGCCTGGAAAAGACAGAGTTTGGATGCTTGCAGCACACACCTATGACCTATGTAATTTGAGAGAGAAATGCCAAGCATCTAAAATCTCTAGTTTGAATGGCATACCCTGATAAAACACAAATGACATCTAAATGGACTAAATGCCGGATATGGTAATTGTGAGGTATGCACCCAATCTCCCCCAGCTCTCAAGTCTGAATTCCTCACACAAAAACATTAATAAAACCTCCAACACAATCTGTCACCAAGTACAGTGAAAGGAAGTGTACTGCCAAAAACTGTTCTTAAACAGGAATCTATATACACAAGAAAATGTGATATATATTTGTGCCTTGGGGATTCTGGCTTATGTGACAAAACATTACATTTCCAATTATTTCCCCCCTGATAAGTAAAAAGAGTTGTGACCCCAAAACATTTCTACCCGGAAGGCTTAAACAGCCTGCCAGAAGCTCCCCAGCCAAGTTTTCCAACCATTCTATTCTGTCCCTGATACTCAGATCCATTCACAGCTACTCAGATGTGCATGAAGTATTAAGCACGAGCAGAACAAACTTCCCAAAGCACCTTGCAAATCCTAGACTACACTGCTGCTATTCAAGGTAGCTATTGAACAATTCCAGACATTGAATCTTGACTAGAATCTGCTCCCTACTCCTATCTGCTGCTTTCAAGGCAATTAATACATAAATGTTTGGGAGAGAATAAGATACATCTGATGGAAAGTAAAATAAATAAACTGATTGATATGCCCTTGGCTTTAATGAGGAGAGAGGAAGACAAGGTCAAGTCTCTGAAAGAGTAAAGGAGAAGACGGCACCACATTCCTAAAAATCACAACACTAAGGAAAGGCAGATTGGCAGCCACTAAGCCCCACTGTGGGCTTATTTCTCAGATATTTCTTTATTTTTTTTCCCCCTCCTCCTTCAAGCCAACCTGCCCTTCTGTTTTTAATTTAATTAGGGAGAATCAGCATCAACAGAAAAGTGGAAGCCAAAGGGAAAAAACCAAACAGTGCTAAAAACCTAATGTTGTACAGACCCTGCACACTGCATTTGTAAAGGGGTCAGAATAACTTTTTTTTTTAGCCACACAAATAAATGACTTATTTGTTCCGGCATGACTTCTGTTTGTTGATGCTCAAAAGCATCCATGGTTAGACAGAAGGCACAAAATCTACTACTTTTATTAATAAAATGGATGAAACACAAGCCAAAGCACTCGAGTACTTGAGTCATTAGGTCTGACAGAGGCATTTACAGAATACAGAGAGAAAATCTAAACTAACCTTTTCCTTTTTCCCTAGTGAGACCTAGGTGTATGCTCTCTCCTTGCCTCCTTCTCTGAGGAACAGCATGGTATGACAGCATAGGAATGAGGAGGTTTGTGATGCCCCGATTTCACATTTCTTATTGACATTAATCCTCTGTCAGAAATCCAAGCAGCTCAAAGATTCCTCGAGTAATTGAAAAATTTAAGAAACCACATTAAAATGGATTAACCCCATCCTACAATCAGCATACTACTTTTCCCAACAAGAATATCCTTAACAGCAGAGATCAGGCCAAAAATTAAGTTGATCTTAGCAAACTGCAGAAATAGTCTAAAACAGAATATTACGGTGAAGACAACTTACCACTGAAGAAT